ATGGCTGTCTTAAAGATGTTGAGTTGATGAATTCATGTGGGAGTTCCCATACATGGTAGTCCTTGGTAAGATCATGATACATGTAGACATTTACAAACATTTTCAACTTCCCTGGTAACAGAAGTCTGCTGGTCTTTTAAATTATAATTGAGTCATCTGTTGGAGAGAAGTAGTATTAGCTTTTGGATTACCATGCACCCATTGGTATCATGATTTCTTTATACAAAAGCATAACTGAAATTATGCCATGTCTTGATCTTGAGACTATACAAAGTATATTAGAAGTTTAAAATGGGGGCTTTCAATTTTTTAAGAATTTTTGGAAAAGGAGTGGAAGGTTCAATAACTGTTTTCCTCTTTTGCTTTCAGCTTGTGTTGGCATGATCACAATGCGTTTCTCTTTGATTGAGAAGTATTTAAAAACGCTGCACTTAATTTGATTTTCAGGTTTTAAAAGATAAGTTCTTCCCTGCAATCTGTGGAAGAGAGGAGTTGGAAAGAGCTCGTGTTTGTCCAAATCTTGGATCAGGTTTGCAAGCCAAAAAACCTGAGGCTTACTTTCAGCTTATCAATGAAACCTGTGTGTGTGTGTTTGGGGGGGTTGTTTGTTTGTTTGTTTTAAGTTTTATTTGAAACATTATAAACAGCTCTGTTCATGAAATTGTATGCAGTTCTGCTAGGGAAAAGTGATAGACATTTAACTGCAAAAGTCTATCAAAATTAAGCTAAGGACTTACTGGTAAATATTTGTTTAAGCTCCCAAATCCCTGTAATCTCTTATGCTTTAACTGTTCTCCAGCTACTGTATCATCTTTTCTCTGCTTCCAGTCAGTCTCGCCCTGGGAAGTGGCATGGAGCTGACAAGGGGGTGTGTGCAGAGCAAAGCACTGAGCTTTACCGACAGCTGCTTATTGATCCAACATCTGCACACACAATTTCTTTTCCCTTTTTTTTTTTTTTTAGGCAGAGGCAAAATGCAGAAAGTATGCTGCACATCAAGTCCAAAGCAAATGAAAATAGTCATTCCATGCCTTAAAAGAAAGGTGAAAATTGAGATGGATGTATTTTTTTTTCTTAGGTATCTATAAAATATTTTCTATACCTCATGTTGCATGTATTCAAATGCAAATATTCAAATTCAAGCAAAAATTAAAAAAAAAGTTTCATAACTACACATCAGGGTGAATAGATAATGAGAAGAATTTCCTGAAATTTCGCTTCTTAAGTTGTTTATTCTACAGCATAAATTTAGGCCAAACTGACTGCCTCCATTAAATGTCTTCAATTAAAGTGCAAGCATCTATAACCTTAAGGTAAGTAACTTAAACATTTGCTAAATAGCCACACTTCAAACAGAGGCTTTAAATGAAAGGATTCAATTACTATTGTGTTGCTGTGATGTTCTTTGCTTATACTTTTTCAGGAATTTAAAAACATAATATGCTGTTCTTGACTACTTCTGCTTTGCTTGATCTGCTGCTGCAATGCTGCAGTTCAAAGAAGCAACTGAAAGACAAAATGACTCAGGAAACAAAACCATCACATAGATTAAATGTTACTCAACAGTTCAGTTGCAGATCCTCAGCATTTCATGTTACAGCATGAGGTATCTTATCCTGCTCATAGGAGTGAAGTCAGCAGTTTCTGCTTTCTGTGGAGAAAGAATAGGAAATGGGGTCAATGTTAAAGGTAGTTACAGTAACTTATTTGGATATTCACTGAACAACATTTCTTACCAAGAGTGTTTGTCCTGTGCTCTGTACGGACTGCTTATTAATTCTTTCGTCTTCTGTTTAACATGGAATTGAAGGGACTAGATGATTTGAGATTCCTTACCTCATCTGTTGCTTGTCTCCTTGCGGCTATTGCCCACAGGTGCAATCATTGCAGAGGATACGAGTTGCTGAAGAACCGTCAGATAGCTCAGCTGTTCCTCTGGACCAACCTTTAACTGCATTAGGCTGATATTGTTACAAATAAATGGGTAAAGCACCACTATT